TAGAAGTATTGCCTACACACAAAACTATCCTTAGTACGTAAAAGCATCTAAAAAAAAATCCCTACTGTCAAACGCTATGTCAATTTAGTTTACATTATTATATCAATAGATGGCAGAACATATTGTTTAGATCACGATATAGATTTATTTGGTTTGTTTATCGACTTGCCGATCGCATTTAAATAAAGTTGACTCGCACCAAGATATAACCAGTGTTTCATTGTGACTACTCGATACTTCTCCAGTGAGAGGGAGACCTTTTTGAGACTGCTTTACACCTACCTTAACTACATAAGACTGTCTATAAAAAAGGGCCTTGATAGAACGGACGCACAACAAAGTTCTCCTATAAGGGTTCCGTTTTTTCCTTTCGAGGTACGGAACCCTAAAGAACAAGATGTACATTACATCTACCTTAAGTACACAACATTAAAAAAAAAACAAAAAACCCTACTACATAATACTGTATTGATAAAAAAAATCCTACTTTAATTACAGAAGACCGTCTAAATAAAAAAAAACACGCACCTTAGCGGCCTCTAGCGGAGAAAGTGCGATATCAGCGAAGAATTCAGCAGATGCTGATGCAGCGAGGTAGACGAATGTACGGTAACTGTATGCTGTCTCCTCATCCAGCATACCGGAGTATGTCACCTTGAACACCTCGTATAATCCGAACTTGCACAGACCCTGGAATTATACATTAATTACAACCTTATTGTTAAAACTTAAAGTCTAATTTTAACTGTCATGTAAATCTCATATAATAAATCGTCTTCAAATTTTCCAATCAGAAGGAACAATTGGATTTTAATTTTTATAATCATTGAGGGATACGTCAAAAATCAATTTTATTTATAAGTAATGTAACTAGTGATATTGTAAACTGACGGTGAATTATGAATGCGTAGTTAAATTTAACGCGTCATGACAAACTTACAAGTGTTTAAAATTATATTCGAAATATAAAAAAAAATAGTTTCTTAAAAAATTTCTCTACCTTCCAAAACCATTTAATCTTTGATTATATAAAAAAGACTAGGTAGTCTAGGTAACTTTGACTATAGAAAAATGGACAAGGCCGTTGTAAACAAAATCTGTCACCTGTAGGGAGTATCCAATGAAGGTTGGTGCCCATCCCTTAGCGAGTCCGCGCATGCCCTCCTCGCGCACTGACACTTTGAACCCAGTCAGCACATTCTTGTACTTATCAGGGTCCACC